TATGTGAGCCTGCGATAGTCCTCTTAATTCTCATTTTTAGATATCTTTCTTCAATGACAGGACAAAAGGCAGCATCCCAAAACATAGGGATCGACTGCACCATGTACGATTTGACTCCCAATAAGGAAAATGTGATCTTGTGTCCAACATCACTGCTCTTGAATCTGTAAGCTATTTGTCTGAAGCACCTGGTTCTGATAGGGCTATGCGAAAGCCCAATACTGCACACCATCAGACGCAGTGAGGGGGAGGACGGGAAGGGAAAAAGCAGACACTCCCCAAGAGTCTACATTCAAGCATGACTCCTACACTGCCTTGTTCAAACAAATCTAACAAGCTGATTTGGCTGTGTATGAAACATCTAAACACTTAATGCCAAATACCATATGCTTAGAAGACTTGAGTAAATAATACTTCGAGTTGCATCCCAAGCATGTGTATAATGAAGATGGACTGTGGCCTAGTTAAATTCGGATTTTTTGTTTGTTAATTTAACATTTCCCCTGCCTTGCACCCATTGTTTCCAGGACAGGCCCCCGACCCAAGCAACCCTGTCTAGGACAAGGGGTACGGATGACTGAATTTAACATTTCTCATAGATTCAAATGAAGATACTTGTGGTTTTCTACAGATGAAACATGAAATGCTGAAAACAAAGTTCTCAAACACTAAGAGAACAAGCCGTGCCAGTTCTCAAAAGACAAGCTTCCCGTCGCCGTAGAGATCCCTTAGTAAGCATTCAGTAGCTAAAGCCAAAGACACATTTATTACTCTGCTAGACTGCATTTAACGGTTATCATATTTAAAGTCCATTTTGGTGGAACATTATGGATGAAACATCTGCCTGTAGGTCCGATGTTGAGCGATGAGAGGATTGCCAATGAACACAGAAGGTCACGAGCGCTGTGGACATTCAACTGTGTGTCTACAGTCCTGTCTGCTGGCAGGTGACATGCATCCCGCTGCTTGCCAAACTGCGGGGGACGTAAAGGGGCAAATGTGGACGAGAAAAGCAGACTAGGAGCCATTATTCAGACTTCAGCGACTTAGAGGTTGCCGAGCATTATGGCTAACGATGCCCCTGTTTTCTCTCCCTCTCTCTCGATACACGAAATCCAACACGACCGATCTTGGGGTACCGCATTTTCCAGACGCCGTTTATGATCTCGAGGGAGCGGAGAGACACCGTGAAGCAAAAAAGTGTGTCATGTGACATTCCTCGGCCTGCCACATCACACCCCCAAAAGCGCCAGATAGTTACTGACAGAAAGCACACTTCAAAACAACAAGACCCCAAAGGGGGAGCCTGGGATTCATTTGCTACATACATGAGCCAGAAATGGCTTCATTTATCAAGTCTTACGCACAAGCAAACAGCTAAAGCCAGAGAGATTTTGCTCTTCTACGTAAAAGCTTGACTCCCGACACGTGCCTCCAAAACCAATGTCTAGTAAATCAAAGAATCAATCATTAATTCATGCTCTGTTAATTAGGTAGATAATAAATAACTTTCCATTAAGTGTCAGGCCTGTCAAGCACCTTCATGTAAGAAACTCAAAATTGTTACTAAACCAAAATGGCTCCAATGATTTACCAACATTACAGAAGAAAATGAGGGTCCATCACCTTCACTGAAGTTTAATGTTCTGACAAAAAGCCAAGCAGTGTAGAAAGATGCTTCAAAAAACCCACACAGCTGTACTTTCCACAAAGATTACTAAATCTCACCAACGAGTCCATGACAGACTCTTCATTTGCTACATTTTCAGTTTCGGAGAAGCAGGAAAGGCTTGAAATCGGAGATATGGTCTCTTTAAGGTCATCATCTTGCACAGATAATCAGGTCACATGAAAACAGGCAGAAGAGCTTGCGTTCGTGGACGGCCATGGATGGTCGTTATGATCATGCCGTATCCCAAAAAGACATATGTGACATACGTGATGAGCAGGTGGCGTATGCCTTAGCCTGCCTTTGACCCCGTGTGGTCCCGGGTGTATTCCTCATGCCCCCGTTGGTGCATGGGGACCGTCGCCATAAGTCGCAGACCTTCATGGATAAGGGCCCTTCACGGGGTTCACTGCTGACCTTCTGAAAGCTTGCTTCTCGCCCGGCAAGGCTCTCCGCTCCCTGACAAAGAGCTGATGGGATGGATTCTGACAAGCTGGTACACAACAGTGCCAAACCTTTTCTCTGCTAAGACACTTATATTCTTTCCCGTTCATATAAAGCGACAGGCCACACAGACCCTGTTTCCCACCCTGTGAGCCCACACAGAGCCCCGGGACCTTGCAGGAGCCCACAATGGGAGAAGGTAACGCCCTGGTCAGCCAGACGCATCTTCCCATCAGAACCCGTCAAAGCCGCTTGTCAGGCATCACAGAAAAGGAGAATAAAGGCCAGGGCTTATTTGACGAGCAGGAAGCAGCTTTCTTATTCAGTCCCGGTCACAGGGGATTTCTGTTTTTCCTTTTTTTTCACCCAAGAACTATATTCCCGTCTTATATTAGCCCCCTCAAACAAAATCCAGCTAATCCCATTAGTCTGTGGGGAACTACCAGCAATGGCCAGAGGCAACATTAGACCCATCTGCGATCATCAGTCATCCGAAACAGGCACCCTATCCAGACCCATTATCGGAGTGTCAAAACGGAATAAAGTTATTCCAAAACGCTGATCAGGACTAAAGTGTCTCACCTCAGGCACTATCCCAAGGCTTTCTGGAGCATGCAGGGTGTGTGGATCCGAGTTTCTCCTTAAACGAGCTCCGTTCCAACCCTACTCACCCCCCACCGTCTGCAGGTGCTTACTCCGTGTCAGCCGGGGGGTGTGATGACACGCTTACGCGCAATTTGCGACAATCCTCCCATAATTCAAATCATTCCCATCTGCAGTTACATATTAATCACGCGTCAGCTGAATACAGAACTTAGCTGTCGGGTCCAATTAAACAGAATGGTGCCGGAGATTATGGGAGCAGAAAGTTATCGAGAGTGTGGCCTGTTGGTAGGGAAGGATTTTAACGTGACACACTCCCTGCGACAGTGTGTTAAAGCTGACAGCTACGTGTGGGAGGGGTTCAGATTCCCAGTGTGCATGCCACATCCGGCCCCAACCATGGCCAGTCGCCTCATCGCAACAGGCATTTTCACAGAATGGTGAGCATTCATGCCACTCCCCTTGTGACACTGGTGTTGAGTCCCTTCAATCACAGCAGCTGTGGTGGCCATTCGCCCATCAGTCCGGGACGCCATTTCCTCCCTGGTGCAGGCAGAAGGGGGGCCCACTCGCCGCTCTCACCTTTCCCACCCCTGATAACAGAGGAGCCCCGTAACAGGAGCTGCTGAAGGTCACGACCTTTGGACCTTCCAGCGGGAGCCACACGGGGTCTCCTGAGCAGGGGTCAACAGACCATAAGGTGGAGGGAAGCTGGCACCAAAAAATAAAGTAAAATACAAACACCAACTCTAGACTTTTGTCTAGACACCATCTGGAATTCAACAAGTGGTGGATATGTAGTGTTATCTCCTAAATCTTCAGGATGCCAACTACAATTACCCATAAAATGAGCAAAGCTACCAATTAGTACATGCCCTTCAAAGACTTAAAAATTTGAAGGAGATATTTCTTAATAAAATAGTTTTACTTTAACATGAATGCATGTTGCTTTACAGTATTTGCATTTTTTTTTTTGCACAAAACCCACAAAAACATGACATTTCATACAGAAGCAACTCAGGAATTCTCCAGGAACTGGAATTGGAGAAATCAGAGATTTCCGCAGCTTAGCAGGTCAGTTTCAGCCATGCACTTATCAGCACATACAGAGAACCGTACAGAGAACCTTACAGAGAACCATACAGAGAACATATGTGCTTAGAGCAATTCGATGACCCAGAAGAATTGGTAAGAATGATAACCCAAGGTCTAGAAAATCCTGTTTCCTTCTGCTTGTAGACCCCGGATCATGAGGACCGTAAGGTTCTGCACGTCACAACTCATTAGCTTCTTACATTCTAGGACAAAATAGGATGCAAGAAAAACCAGCTGACATGTTTTGGTAGCAGTTACATCCGTCTGACTCCCATATTGCAAGGAAAACACGAGTCGCTCAGGAAATCCCAGTGCGGTGTTCCGAAACATAACTGGGAGTGGGAGCCGAAGAGTGCGGACGAACACTGGAGCACGCGGGACTTCACATTCTCCAGGGAACGCCGTGATTTAAAAAAAACATTTACCGTGCCCGAAAAATGAACTTGCCATGTATGCAACTGGAAAGTGCTTCCAGCTAATTTAGGGATTGTGGGAAATGATTGCGATGGACAACGTATGAGAACATGTCATTATTAGTATTTTTAGAAGGAGCTCTGTCTGCCCTCTGGCATTGTGCGCCTGTGGCACCGGTGAACACAGTCTACAGTTCAGGCCATTTGTGTCTCGTAATAAAGCAGAACCAGAAGGACCAGAGGAGGAGGTGTCTGTCTCTGGCCTATCAACTGGGACTGTGTGGGAGGGACTATGCAAATACATGTGGCCTGTAGTTATCGGCAGCACCGCCCACTATGATACTGAGCTGAAAACACCACAATGCTGTAAACAGGGCTCAGCTCTAATCCCATAGACCACTGCTGAAAAAGCGGAGCTTGCAATGTAGAGGTTCAGACCCAGCTTGTATTAAACCTTATGAGTTTTTAAATTCTTAGCAATTTAATTTCAGATTCCTACGTCATTAAACGTAAGTGTTTGAAACACTGCTGTATGACCTAATTACTTGGAATGTTTTGTTTTGGAAGTATTCAATTTCAGTTCATTTCGGTTTATTTTTATGAAGTTCCCCCCGGAGCGCTTCAAATAAACATATTCAAGCGAAGTACTCTTACCAGCACAGTACAAAATGTCACTATTTCAAGTGAATTTCACTCCACCCACATGTTAAATATTTAATATATTGAAAAGGGGAAATAGTAACACGCCGTCATCACTTTCAAAAGCACCGGAGAGATCACAGACGTGTCAGACCTGCACTCCTTAGCACGCCTTGCACTGAGTGCTCCCCGTGAGGGGTAATTACAGGGCAGGGCAGGAGTCTCATCAGGACGCTGTGGGGACTGCCACTCACCCCCTCTGCATGGGGGGGCCGAGGAGACCACCTCAGGCTCAGGCTGGATGCCGTCCTTCGCTTTACATCATTGTCCATGATGGCGGTGAGTTAGCAGCGAAAGATTAAAGGCACAGACAGGTGAAAGCGGCCACCAGAGGTTTTTCCACGGTGCCTGGCCCGGGGACGCAGCCAAAGGGCACGGTGGCGTACTTTGGACCTCTTTGTCTATTATCAACAGCCCTGACCGAAAGAAAGAAAATAACTAGCAGAACGGGGCATGCAGCTAGTCTGCCATGAAAACAAGTAAATAAAAAGCCAGAGTACTATCCCACATGACAGCTTACAGCGTTCCGTCCTGTTTTACAGCTGTGTGTAGGTCAGAGACTGCAAGCCGTCTGAGACCCAACTCACGATAAGCTCACTGCGGAAAAGAAAGGTGAAAAAACTCTGTGTCCATGAACACAACTTGTTTTCTTTACAAAAGATTCACAAGTTAATTTTCATTACGCTGTTACCAAAGGTTTGTCACTAAGGCTACATGACAGCAATAACAAATAGGCCTAAACAAAAATTCCAGCCCTTTTCAATTTTTTCCCAAAACCAAATGACCACCGGGATTCTGAGGCGAATATTAAAGTATAATACCCATCGACCCATAAAATACATGGTTGGGAAATTATACATGACATCAGCTGTTCTTTCATCACATTCTGCTTTTTATGCAGACAGACAATTTGCAGAATTAAAGGACAAGAACGCTTCAGAGAGACAGATAAGCTCTCGGGATGTTAACTTGGGCTTGAAAACACAGAGCTGTATAAACGTCGAGCACCATTCCAAGGCAAAGAGAATCCATTTACCAAGTTTGCTAAATCAGTAACCGCAATACACAGAACCATACATTAAAGGCATCTGGACGCGTTTGCAGAGCGGCGCAGAAAATTGGCTAATATTTCTTTGCTGACATTGATCTCCGTGCGCAGGGTCAGCGCCAACAGACTGCGGCGGTCCTGCGATGTAGGAGAAGCGGCGGCGGAGCGTATTACGGCACGGCTCAGCATGGACGCCACAGAAGCTGCACCCAGCGCCGGGCACCGCTAAGCAGCGACGCCGCTCCGCAGCGTTCCGACCTGCGTATCTGACTTCAGCCCGTACTTCCCGCCTGACTTATATTAAATTACTACATTTCTAAGAACACCCTAAGAGCGCTCCTCTCAATGATTATGCTTGATTAAATATTCCGACGTCAATATCAACATCATTCATTAAGTTTCTTTTAAACGTCCTTTTTCCTTTGTGGGGATTTTAACCATTCCTCAACTATCCGCTGATTATTTTCGTGCAAATTAGCTAGTTAAAAAATTAAACATTTGCACGCGAGCGGAAGTGAGAGTAATACATTACTGACTCGTATTCCAACTGATTCTCTGCTTTTTAAATTATTTAAAGAAATACTCTATTCAATAATTATATGTATAAGCGTGATTAAATATTCTCACATGAACATTAACATAAATTTTCCTTAAATATCTTTTAAACGCCATTTTATTTGTGGGGATTTTAATGATTCTTGAAGTCTAATGGCAGGTTTTTTTTGTTTTGTTTTAATTTTGAAGAAACAGTGAAGGTGATATTTCAGAGGTGTCCTGCACAAGACAACCGACATTCTTCTATTTAATGACTACCTACACCTCCCTGTGAAGTCATTTAAAAAGTATTTATACTGTGTATAAACATAACCTTTTTCCAGCTCGTACAAAAAGTACAAGGAATTAGTTTGGATGTAGGTGGTGGCATAATTTCAGACTCCTGTCATTAAATCGGTGTAATATCAGCCTGAAGGAACGACCCACCAAAACATCCCACTGCAGAAGTAAAACAACTTTAAACAGACTGAAAGCAGCAGGATTACAGAGCCCCCCCCATCACGCTAGTCCAGGACACCTCGGCAAACCTGAATCCCATTTTCCCCAGTGTTAGCATTTCACAGGCTGCATGTTAACAGTGTCAGGTGATAAACAAATTACATTATTAAGAATCCAGCTGATGACAGGTTTCAAGACATCAGCTATCGCCGCGCCAAGCAATGGTAATGCAGCCGGCTACTATGTCTAGCTGTTCATGTGCACTGGAAGTCTAGTTTACAAGCCTTCTCGCAGGCAAGTGGAATTATTTCGCCCATTTACAGATAGAGGGATTAGATAAAACTACATTTTTATTGGAAATTCAGTTAAACTGAGCTTCCAGTTTGATTTAGTTAAATAGCAGTACCAGTCTGCCCAGTTTATATCCGTCTTCCAGCCACTCATCCTGAGCTGGGTCGCGGGACCAAGTTTTGTGAAACCCTGATATTTAGCATTTCCCGCCCCACCCAAATTGGAAAAAGCTGCAGCATCCTTGGGTACTTTCTAAGGTCCAACATTAACCCTAACCATACATCTCAATGAGGCCGTCGCAACAAAGGCTTCTCAAGACCATCCCTCGAAAATTTATGTTCTCTTATGGCTCGTATCAAACACCCTTCATCTGCATCACATTACAGCCGGGGAATTATTTGATTTAGAAGAGGATTCTCACTGCAGTACATATGGCATCAGCCATTAAACAAAAGCATCCCTCAATTCCCTGCTAGAAATATCACATCTGCTACTTTGCAATCCAAACAAAGCATTAAAATGTCAGAACGCCCTTCCACAAACTCGGAGCTTCTCTGACCCTGGCCATCTTGCTGGTTTCACCCCATGCAGATCATCTACAGGACCTCCTGTAGGCTGAGACTTTTCCAGCTAATTACCAGCTTCGGCAAGTCTTCCTATTGAAAACATGGACAAATCATTCTCGGCCGTGTAGCTAAAATTACTGTTTTCAGTGCATCTAGCCTTCATTTATTTTTTTTAAGTGCCACGTAACAGGGAAGTTGTGATCCAAAGAGTCTTTTGAAAGCGATGGATTTGTAAGGAAAGATGTTTAAATATCTTCGGATGGTAGGTCACCCTACACAAACTGCTTTTGATTAGACCACCTTCTTACAAGTGTGATGGATGTCTCTCACAGCCTGAATGGCCGCAATTTTCGGCATGTCTTAAAATGGAAGGAAACGAGTTTCCTAACACAACAAACCATATCACAGAAGTTAAAGCACAGACAGATGCCTGAAGCCAGAGCAGGAGGGAGAAGCAGACTTTGAAATTGCTAAGTATGCTGCGTTACCCACCATACCAGGAATACTGCTGCAAATCCGCAGGGGACGGGCAATGGTGACCATCTGTAAGCACAAACTACCCGAGTTTGCACGACTGTCATTCCATGTTTACAGCACATACTAAGGATGCTGCACATTGTGAATTTATCAAGGTATCGTACATTTATAGGCCAGGATTTTCAACTTTATCCAAGTTTATCGAGATGAGCCAAATGCAACAGTTTATAAAGTAACTGTGGCTTCATCCTTGTAAAACTGATCATTTCTGTCTAAGTGAATACTAAGTAAATACTAAGGATCATAAACATTAATGCTTCTATTAAAATGCTATTTGCCTACAACCATTTAATATGCATTCCAATTAAAACATTGACTAATGTTGAAATATATTACGTAAATATTAAGGAATGCATGAAGTAGCAGTTTTGAGAACACTACCCGTACTAGTTTACAGATTTTGCTAACCAATGTAATACTGGAGTTCTGAATTTAAAAATGTATATATTTATGAAGAAATCATTTGTAAAATTTACCTTTAAATGATAGATTTTCCATTTAAATACTAATCTATGAATCGCACAGTAAAATCTGTAAATCTCAAATGGGAAAAAGTCGAGAAAAACAAGCCAAATGATTTGATGTTGACTTTACAGCGTTTGCGTTTAAATGGTGCGCGAAACGCCGAAGGACCTGCTAAGGTAGCAGACAATGCGCCCACGTCTCCGGGGGAAATGTCTCATACAGGCTGTATTTCCTCGGTTTATGTTCCGAGGAGTTACGGAGGCAAAGCGGCGTGTTTACTACGACGGGGACACCACTTTCCCCGCGCCTTCCCTTAGTCGTCTGGCTGAGAGCATGGGCAATCGTTTCAGGTATGCACTAATATAAAAAAAACCAAAGCTGCATATGGTCAATGCATTTCAATGCATGTGTCCCTAGGAAGCGCAAATCGTGTATTAAACTGGGAAATTACAACGTATACAAAGCTGGACTTGTTTACAGTGTCACAGCATACATTAGCCTATTCAAATCCTGAAAATGCAGACCTGTGAATTGGAGCCTTACTATCTACCAAAGCTTAAATTCAAATTACCCTTAACACGCTTAATTTTACGTTTTGATATAGGTGCTTAAATAAAATGGGTCAATCACAGCGGCTCGGCGAATCTAACCCGCACGTTTTTATTTACAAGGAAGCTAATGGCACCGAAGCAGATTATACTCGGATACGTTGTGAACGAAATCCTGACGGAAGTCATACTTGTGCCGCCTTACGTCTCCTAAAAGTTGTTCTGAGAAAATAATACGTAACGTGAGAAGCATTGCTGAATGTAAAGATAACGAGGTAAATACAGGTTGAATAGGAACGCCAGTACCTGTCATCGTAGCAGAAATCAGCGCCCAGGGTGTTGAGATACAGGACCAAAGCCACGGCGCTGGACACCAACTCTGCAATCATTTCTCAAAAAAAAAACAAAAAGGAAGAAAATGAAAGAACAGGGGAGAAAATCAGTTCCCGTCTCTATTTTCTTTCCTGATCATTGTCATGGTGCCTTGGTAGAAATAGAAAGTCGAGTTCCCCATGGTCTCGAAGAAGTGAAAACGGCTGATCGGCGCATCCTCCGTCTAACCCATCTTTTTAGTTTGAAGGTTTTAGCGTTGATCCGATGGGAAACTGGGCAGCTGACGAATATTTACAGTATATCTGACCGTATGTGTAAAGCTCGCCGTGCAGTACGCCGGACTGATGCATTGTAGCCACCGTATCAACTAAAGGGATGGAGCCGCGTGTGGATCTGGTGGCTAGTGCGCATGCGCGCTGCCCCGCCCCCTCCCTGTGCCGTGTGACATTGTCGATAGAGAGAAGGGCGCGCTGAGACGCGGACCGTGGGCCGCATGTTTAATAAAGCTTTGGTGACGTGTCAGGCGGCCACTTCGCAAATAAGTCAACCTTAAATGCTACCCTTAGTTATCAGTAAGATGCACATAGCGATCACATTAGTTGATAGAAATTTGGGAGTTGCTTTTAAACATAAACATAATCAGGTCGTTTTCCTAATTGTGTCAGCATAACTATTTTGAAATCGTACCCAGTTTACAAGGCAAATCTTCCATTACAGAATTCCTGTATTTATCAGAATCCCCTTTAATCTGACCCTAATCCCCGAAGTGCGCCTACAGCTGTCCCTTTATATCAGAACACATGGAAGTATTGTTTGAAGAACGCTGCAATTTAAATAGGACGCGGTTAAAAATACTCTTATACTGTCTTATGTGCGCCTTCATTAAACCCCGTTGCACGTGCAAAGTAATTTATATACATGTGAAAACAAAAGACAACCACTTTTTAGTGTATTAAGTATTGATACACTTTCTTTATTAATCAATACAAACAGTTATCCACAACATAGTTACAGTATTACATTTATATCCGCGTGAAAGTGTTTAAATTATAACAATAACCCCAGATAAGCATCAAAAGTGACAGTGTGCAGGACGCAGTAGCTGCAAGTGAACAGGGCAGGAAGTTTAATATCCGGCAAGGAAGTTCAGGCAAAGTTGGATATCCCGGGCCGATCCGCTTTGTTATTCGTAATGAAATTCTATAGTGATTATGATCTTTATAATAACTGACTTTTACTATTTTTATAGCGCGCCGCGAAGCCGTAATAAGCTTAGAAACGACGCACAAGAGACGAATACACTGATATGAAACTGCAGTAAAACAGTATATGTGAAAAGGGACGTTTGTACAGAAACACGCCACTGAATAACCGGTTCTGCTGAAGCACGGGAGACATACAGAAATGACAAGGAGGTCCTTGCTTGAAGATGCATCCATCCTTTATCAGTGAAAACATTCCTGCTGGTATTAATTAAAGTCTTTCCATCTCTGTGACCTGCGTCATTTAACGTGACGCCTGTCGCATAATATAGTGTGACGGCATGTGACTGCACGCGCCGCCTCCAATCTTTGATATTTTCGGTCTTAATCACTAATAAGATCAGTAAGATTCCCACCACCTATTCCGGCATTCTTAATTTGCTCACACGAAACGCAAAATGGCAGTCTATTAATAAATGTCTGACAAATGACAGTGTTTTGGTTTAAAATCGACTACCTAGTCGCTAAACCAATTAGACGTGTTTCCACCGCTCTACAAAATTAGATGCATTAATTTAAGTCAGATCAATAAGTTATTTTGGTATTCCTGGCAATTACTTCTGTTTATACACCTGCAAACTACGAGCACAAACTATTACCTCTAAAAACCATAAGTGGTCGATATTTGTTCATGACAGGGGAGAGGCACTGCTACTCATATCTGTAAGGAACCCTCTGAAAGAGTTGGCCTGCTTAGCAAAGAGGCAGCTAAACAGGGCTGAATTAATGCCTATTAGCAATAGACTGACAAGAACTAAAGGAACTGTTTGGAAACGCAGCGCTTTTTCTTTTGAGACCAAGTCAACGCTCCTAAGCTTTAAGCAGGATTTACAGTGTATGAATTATATATATTTTTTCAGTCTTTAATGCTGTTTTAATCTTTTGTGAAAGTTTAATAAGTGAGGACTGAGAATTAATTATGCGTGATGTAGCAATCATGTAATGAATTGTAATATTATACACATATATAATATCGTCACCTTCTTCAGGGACGTGCTCTGAAGCAAGGTTTAGCTGCAGAAAAATGTACTTGTTAACTATATTGTTAGTAATTTTAAAGATCACAGCATTTCCTCCAACTTCCTGTATACAGTAGTTGTTGTCTCCTCTACTGGATAGACAATAATCTTGATTATGTTACATGCAGCGTCACTTATTTAGTTTAAAATGCCGTGTAGCTGAGATATTCGATTTGTGGTCCGGTTTAGCCGCTGTGAGGCAGCATATGAACAGCAAGGGAAACGATGACATTGTACATTGTTATGTCAGCAAACTAACAGCGAAAGTGCATAGTGCAGTATGACGTTTGGTCTTACCTCACCATATACACGTTCAAGCGGCACAGGTCTCATGTTAGGCCTGGGGATTTCATTTCAAGGTTTTTTATCTGAGACCTCTGAGTTTCCTTTTTTTTTGGAAAGAGTGAGCAGGGACACCAAGGCAACAGTGAAATGAAAAGGGAGGAAAAAGAATCAACCTAAAGTGTGCTGCTGTATTTTAGCCCAGACAAAGAGGCCAGTATGGCTCAGTGCATATTGATGCAATTCAGCCTCAATAGCAGAATCTTGGTCTACTCAGGAATGCATCAATGTGCCCATTCACAGAGCAGCAGGACACTATGATGTCATGCATCTCAGGAATTAATTAAAGTGATCAAGTTGAGTGACCCAGCCTTTTGTACGCACCAAGCCAATCTGCTTGCAAATTCTTCAAAGCAAAACAAGTGTTTAAATCCAATAAAAATGTAAACATATCCTTTACCTCTCTGACGAATACCTTTATTCTTTTGGACAATAAAGCAAAAGCATTTTTTAGGATTACTGAAATGTGTTAAAGATTATTTCAGATCTTAAAAGCAGTAGTTTTATTTAAGACAATGTTTATTTCAAAGTGTGCTGTACTATCTGGCTATTAAGGGGAGAAGCATAGTGGCCGGTCCCACAGGTGTCATCATCACACCAGAAGACTGACATTCTACTGAAATCTCACACAGCTTTCCTGAAGCAACTTCACACTGTGTTTGACTGTCTCAGGTGGGAGATGCCTGTCAGGTCCGCACCTTAATTCCCGGATTATAGTTTTAGGTCACCGGTTCATTACAGATTCATTTCCTTGCTTTGCTCAAAGACAGAAGATTGGAAAGGTTGTGGAAACATTTTATAGTTTAATGTGTATTGAGAACAGACTGGGTGTGATATTAGTCTGGCCTCCTGTGCTACGTTATGATTCTTCACTGTGAGGACCCACAACAAGATAAATGACGTGAGTAATGCTTGGTGATATTATATGTAACACATGTTATATTTTTAATAATCATCAGAATTAGTTTTTACTGGGATGTTCAGTTGGGTGAAGGGCATTGTATGTTCTAGGCAGATGGCATCCATGTGGACATGAAATCAGCCTTGCTTAGACGCAGCAGCTGGGGGAGGTGATGATCCATCCAGGTCTTCAGCAGAAGGAAGATGCTGGCAGAAAATAAAATGATTCGTCTGGCCATAATGGTAACGTACCAACTGCATCCCAGAGCAGTCTCTCTGCTAGGATTGGGGCAGAGCGGCTGGGGGATTCGGAACGCCAACGTGCCCTGGGGCCAAAACAATCTGCTCCGAGAGAGCAATGTGCTGAATTGCTGCAAGCTCATCTGTCTGAGAGTGATTAGGAGATACTAGCGAGTCTTCTAGCTAATGTAGGGGAAATGACCAGCTTAGCACAAGTCCAGCATTTCTCTCCCTCACCTTGCAGTCATCTGAAGGTCTCTGCTTGTGCTTCGCTCTCGTGATTCCATCACAGCCTCTCTGATAGATCTGCGTCGTGCTATATTGTCCATAATCAAGGCTCACAGACACTTACCTTTGTTTGATCTCCACACTGCTAAGCTGTAGGCCCTGATTCTCACTCATCCTTGTAAAATCATACAGGGGGAGGGATGACGGGGTGATGGATGAATTGATTCTGTGGATAGAAATAAAGATATATCCATCATGGAAGTGGGGATGGGTCATTAATATAAGCAGGGAACTCTCCATTACTCATGAGGGAGTCTGACTGCCTCCAGAACATTAGTAATAGATTGGAGGTTGATAGCCGTGTCTGGTCTACGTGCCTCTGTGGGGAGCTGGATATTATGACTTGAGGGGATCTCATTCTGTACTTTATCGTTTCAGATGAGGCAATCATGGTTGCCGCCTAAGATACGAGGACCCGTGACCTTGCGTGAGCCACCTTGCACCAGTGCGGGAACAACAAGGCTATGAAGTATTATGATTCAGTAGCACAGGAAGCTCCTTACGGCTGAGATCTTAGGAGTCATCGGGTTTTGTTTTCATTAAGAACCTTCCAGAAGGCTATGTCAGCAGACTCCACAGGAAGAGTGAAAACCCTGTGAGTTCTGCGGTGAGGCACCTAGATGCCTGAGCCCTAGCTTATGCAGAAAGTGTGGCCCATTTCCCCCCTGAAAAACAGTGACTTAGCAGTGAAGGGGCTCTCGCACATGCGCCACAGGAGAGGACAGATATTACTGTCTTCTTCCTGTCTGGAGGAGGTCAGAGCAGTGGGGTCCCTTCCTCTGCATCTGAAGCCACGGGGTCTGTTCAAACCCCTCATCCACTGCATTCCTGCAACTGAAGCCCAAGTTATTCCCACAAGCAGAGCCAGAAACCTGCAGCGGATAAGTCACGGATAAACCGGCATCACGCTCATATTCCGGCACCCACGCAACCCCCCCCGACCTCAGTGACCTCTCCCTGCCTCAGCCCAGTGACCCACCGCTAAGCTCCTTGCCCATTCAGGCATGTGCAGTCATGACCTGGGGGGGGGAGGGCTGTGGTTCCTATCCTGCTATCTATCGCTGATCCATCTCTGCTCAGGAAAGCCATGCAGTAGCCATAGAGCTCAAAGGATTAGCATTCCCCACAAACACCTGCGGCCACATAAATTTACCTGTTACGCCAAGGTCTGAAAGCAAGAGAGGAAGCGCATGGAAAATAGAGGATTTACAGAAATGATCATCTGCAGGGATTAGGGGTAGATTGCCAGGCTTCAAACCACTTTATGTAAAATTTAAACAATTTAAAGGGTTCATTAATAAAAAAAAACCTATAGGGATGTTTTAGACAGTAAGCAAAA